TCTCCCTCTTTCTTTCTTTCTTTCTTTCTTTCTTTCTTTCTTTCTTTCTTTCTTTCTTTCTTTCTTTCTTTCTTTCTTTCTTTCTTTCTTCAGGACAGGGCTTTTTGTGTAGTCCTGGCTGTCCTGGAATTCACTCTGTAGACCAGGCTGGCCTTCAACTCAGAGATCCACCTGGCTTTGCCTCCCAAGAGCTGGAATTAAAGACGTGCACCGCCACCGCCCGGCTTCTGTTATTATTTTTGTCACTACTCAGAATTTCCTCTCTCTGTTGGAGGAGAATGAGGCCAGAGTTGACAAACTCTGGGCTAATCTTAGATCTTAAAGATTAAGTCCCTGAGCTAAAGACACACACACACACACACACACACACACACACACACACACACACTCTCACACACACACACTCACACACTCACACTCACACACACACACTCACACACACTCACACACACACTCACACTCACACACACACCACCTTGGAGGTGGAGAAATCTCCTCTTAAAATCCTAAGGGCAGATGGGCCTTAGGGGAGGGGTCCGCAATTATAGTCATGGGCCACTTCTCATACCCTGTCCTTCTTCCCTCCAGGTACAAGACAGTGGTGACTCAGCGCCGGGCAGCAGTGGCCATCGCTGGCTGCTGGATCCTCTCCCTGGTTGTAGGCCTGACACCCATGTTCGGCTGGAACAACCTGAGTGTGGTGGAGCAAGCCTGGGCAGCTAACGGCAGCGTGGGGGAGCCCGTGATCAAGTGTGAGTTCGAGAAGGTGATCAGCATGGAGTACATGGTCTACTTCAACTTCTTCGTCTGGGTGCTGCCGCCGCTGCTCCTCATGGTCCTCATCTACCTGGAGGTCTTCTATCTGATCCGTAAGCAGCTCAACAAGAAGGTGTCGGCCTCCTCGGGTGACCCGCAGAAGTACTACGGGAAGGAGCTGAAGATTGCCAAGTCTCTGGCCCTCATCCTCTTCCTCTTCGCCCTCAGCTGGCTGCCACTGCACATCCTGAACTGCATCACCCTCTTCTGCCCGACCTGCCAGAAACCCAGCATCCTCATCTACATCGCCATCTTCCTCACGCACGGCAACTCAGCCATGAACCCCATCGTCTATGCCTTCCGCATCCACAAGTTTCGGGTCACCTTTCTGAAGATTTGGAACGACCATTTCCGATGCCAGCCCAAGCCTGCCATCGACGACGACCTCCCAGAGGACAAAGCTGACGACTAGACTCCGCCTCGCTCCCTCCAGCCCACATCCAGTGGCTCTCTGCTCATCCCTCGGATCCCAACGGCCCCACTGCTCTTCCTCAGTTTCCCTAGCTGGGCTGTGTGGGCTGTGGGCACCAGGGAGGCTCTGAAGAGATGCTGTAGAGCAGAGCCCCTTCTCCAAGGAGCCAGTTGCCCTGTACCTTGGGGAGCTGGAGGAGGTTTGGAGGTGGGTCAGGCTATGGCAGCGAGCTGGGTACCCTGAGGTGAGAGGAGTGTGTTGAGTGCCCCTTATCCGGCTGTTCTACAGTCAAACAGGGGAGCCTGCTGTTAGGTGTTGGTGGCCCAAGGGACCAACTTCAAGGAGAGGATGAGACCCCCTCAGAGGATGGCTGGAGAGAAGTGGGTATACCCTGGCTTTTCTTTCTCTCCCGTTCTGTAGGAAAGATAGCAAAGTTCAGGAAAGGAGACCTCATCCCCACCTCCAAGGATTTTGTGTTTCTGGCCGTACAGGTACTGTGATGCCTGCAATCCTTACCCCGACAAGTCTGGGGTTATACTTGGGCAAGGCAGAAAGAATGGGACCAAGGATCGTTTCTCACATTTTCTTTATTCACAACCCTGGACTGCCTGCCAGGGGGCCTCTAAGCACTGGGGAATAAGCATGGTCCAGTAGGTGCTGGCCTCACATAGCCAGCAGGGGGCAGCACTGAGCCCTTTTGCCCTGAACTTCCTGGGAGCTCCCAATGTAACTTGCTGTCTTCTGGGCCACCAAATGTCACCAACTCCCAGAAAGAGACAGGCCTGGACACTCCTGGATGACACTATCCCTGCTTCTGGGCCCCAGGAGAAGAGAGCCCTAGAAAGGACAGCCCTTGGGAGCACTCTGCTTGAGTGGGAAGGAGGAGGAAGTCATCCAAGAGGGTCTCAGGCGACTATAGGCACTCCTGGTATGGAGTACAGTAGGCCAGACCAGACCAGAGGAGACGCTCTCTTGAGAGTGTGAGCGATTGCCTTGCCAGCGTTGAAATACCCAAAATGCTCCTGGGGGCGGGGGATTAAGATCAATTTTTAGGGGGCTTCAAAAGCTGTGTTATGAACAGAGTGTAGGCCTTTGTGGGTCTCGGTTAGGACCAATCCATACCCTGCTGAGCCCGGATTTCTCCCTTGTGTGGACAGCAGGCAGGGGAGGGTGACAGGTTCTGAGTGTGAATATTGACCCCAAGTCTTGATTCCAGGCTCTTCCCTCAGCTGGAGGTAAGGCGTCCCTGGCTCTCAAGGAGGTCCCTATGTCTAATAAAAGACTGTGAACCCTTGTGGAGAGTGTGGTGCTGGCACTACCCCAGCATTGGCCGAGGGCAACTAGACCACCTCAGCAGAGAAGATTGGATGAGGGGAAAAGCTGGGAGAGGGGTGTGGAGGCAGATGGGAGAAGGAAGGTTCCGGAGATGGTGTATCTGTTGCTATAGTTACGCATTTAGGGTAGCACATTGTGAATCAGAAAGCAAGATCCAGAACATTCACATGTCTAAAAAAATGTCCTGTGCTACCATGCGACCCTTCCGGCTGGCACCTTCCTCATGGTGACGGTGTCTGCTCTGCATAGTAACATAGTATCTTCCCATTCACCGTGACACTACCACAGAAGCCCCATGCTGGAACACCACACACACATTTATTTGACTGCTTCTCACCCAGTGTACAGCTCTGCAGGGGGGGACCAGTCACCGCACCTTTGGGGCACTCTTGTACCCATGAGGCCTGACCTGAGGCCTGCCAAGCCCACTCCTGGGTCTGGACTCCAGCCTCTGGCGGAGGGAGGCCTGCAGATACCACAGGCCTCTCCATTAGCTGTTCCTATGGAGTCTTCGTCTTGGGTATCCGTGGAGAGACATTTGGGGCCTGGAGGCCCGATCCTCGGGTCTGCAGGACCTGGCAGAGAATGTCCTTCTGAGCCCTGGTATGTGACCCAGCCGCCAGAAGAGAAGTTGGGGAGTCAGGTAGAGAGCTGCCTCCACCTTTCTCTGTCTTTCCTCAGGCTCAGTTCTCAATGCTGAACTCTGCCTAGTGTGTAGCTCTAGAGACTTCTAGTTCATCCAGAGCCTCGGAGCCACCAAATGAAGCAGGTAGGCCAGGGCTGGGTCCCCACTTCTCTGAGGAGGAAAAAGGTGCAAAGAGAATACCTATGTTTACAGTCACTCAAAGCCAAGACTAGACCCTGTCCTGTGACCACCCACTGGACCCTTCCCTTCCAGACCTCACCAGCATGGCCAGCCCTACACTGTCTTTACCAAACTGAACGTGCATGCTAGTTGTCTTTAGCTGCAAAATTGTACCCACATCTGTCCACTGCCTTCCCTCCCTAGCCCTTCTCCAGTGAAATTTTGGGCCTAGGAAGTGGGTTCTCCCTTCCCAGTGTCCTCTTTGCCCTTGCTCTCACTGGAGGTAGCTGAAGGGGTGGGTCCATCTGCTCACCTGTCTCCTTGTCCCAGTCTCTTGCCCATATTGCTTCTCAGTGTGTGGCGGAGGCTGAAAGAGATCCTGCAGGTTAGAGCTTGGGGGAGACAGGAGGGAACTGAGAGGTTCGAGGTCAGTGATCTCCAGTGCCCCAGGCCCCAGCGAGAACATCTTCCCACTTGGAAAGCCACACAAACTGTCCCTACGCCTTGTCTCCTTCCCGCTCCAGTTTTCACTCTAAGCTCCAAAGAGGGACTCTGCCTGTCCCCTCATGGCCAGGCACTAAGGGGAACCTTTAGACTCCCACCTTTGACCTCCAGTCGGCAATCCACAGAGGCCTCCCCTAGCACGTTGATGGCCTTGCAAGTGTAGACCCCAGAATCAAAGGGGCTGGGCTTCCGGATCTCCAGGGTGCAGATCCCTTGCTCAGAAACTGCTCGGTACTTGGGATCACCCTGGATGTCCATCTTGTTTTTCATCCAGATGATCTTGGGCTGGAGGCAAGGTCAGATGAAGGATTAATGAAGTGAAAACATGGGTTGGAACCAGCTCTCAAGAGACAGTTTCAGCCCTCGCTGCCTCTGCCCGCCCCGCCAGCCCAGGGCCCCCTCACCTTAGGTGATGCTCGGACGCTGCAGAATAGCTGTGTGCTGTAGCCAGGAGTGGAGGTGTGGTCCGCCAGGGGCTGGGTGAACGAGGGGGCTTCCGAGAAGTCTCGTTCAACAAACCCCTTAGGTTTGGCAGTCATATCTGGGGAGAATTTGAGGTTATAGGAATGGAGGGGGGGGGCTTCAGAAGACTGGCCTCAACCCCCAACCCTTGGGAAGCTCAGCCTGGTCAACAACATGTGGAGACTGTCAGGCACCAGAGAAAGCCTCGCTGAGCGGAGTTGAGGCAGGTCAGAAGGCGAACGGCGAGGCATGGGCGGGAAAGCCAGAGCCACAGGGGGGTGAGGTAAGCTGAACATCACTTTCCATTTCTGTCTGTCTCTGAGACCTGAGTGGCTTTCCTTTCTTCTAAACACAAAACTCTGACGGCCGTGCTGCTTTGTGTGGCTTCCAGGGTGAGTGAGGTGGCTCAGTGGGTAAGGGTGCCCGCCACCAAACTTGCCACCCTGAGTTCAATCCCTGGGACCCGGAAGATAGAAGGAGAGAACGGACGAGTCGTCTTTAGAGTCTCCATGCGCGTGCACGCGTGCATGTGAACACACACTCACACACAAATAAATGTAATTAAAATGAACAATAACTAAGCGTGTGGCTTCCAGGGTCGCTGTATGTGTATGTTGTGGGGAGGATCTGGGAGAGGCAGGGGTCAAGGTGGAGTCCTGAAGTTTCACATTTGACCCCACTGACCAGATGCCTGATGGAGACAGTAAATACCACAGCCAGTCTTTGGATGGGGAGGTGTCTGTCTTTACAGGTTGCCAGTGTACCTGTCAGGTCTACGTCACCCTTTAGAGTGTGCACCTGGGGACACCGTACAAGAGACCCAGTGACTTCTGTGATGTGAGCAGCCGCAGTCGTCTCTAGGAGTACCCAGCCTCCTGAGGGGCACTGCTCACTTGCATGGCGATACTCTGGTGTTTGCTAAAATCTGTCAGTCACACGGGCTATTTACAGTCACTCCACGTCAGTGTGTGTACGCACTTGCACATACACTCACGCAGAACTGTTGAGTGTTGTTGGAGGGGGGAGGGGGAGGCAGCAAATGTTCCAAGGAGCAGTGACTGAGGAGAAGCCTAGAGGGATGTGGGGACTCCGAAGAAGAAGTAGTGACAGATGTTGGTAATACCACTCCTGATTTCGGTGTCCTGCCCGGGCTCGAAACCGCTTACCTGCCTTCTGGATGTGAGCCAGCTCCTTGGTGGTGGTGGCCGAATCACTGAGGCCACACAGGTTTTCTGAGAAGACCCGGAAGGAGTAGGAGTTGCCAATGATGAGGTCTGAGATGGTGCAGGTGGTGGGGTGGTAGCGCTCCAGCACTGTGAACCATTGCTGCAGGGACCACGACTGGGTTACCCTCAGCCCTTACCCCGTTCCTGTCTCCCCTGCTTACCCTAATCCTCCTCGGAGGGGCTCATTCCACGCCCCAGCTTTGGGAGGCTGAACCATTCAGCATAGGACCTGAGGGACTCAGAAGTGGGAGAAGGACTTCCTGGGTCACTCTTACGAGCCCAAGAGCCCCCCTCCTCTAAGTGAGGCTGGCAGACAGGCAGCCTCATTACCTGGGCACTATTTAGCCATGTGGGTTCCCAGCCCCCAGCCCCAACCGTCTGCATCAGGGTCTACAGTTAGCGGATTGCCAGGTGATTTATATACATGATAAGATCGTTCCTTAGCAGCCCAGTGCAATGCACCCTGAAGACGGAGGTATGGAGAGGGCAGAGGCTTGCCCAGGACCATATAAGGAGTCAGTTAGCAGTAGCTGGCCCAGTCTTCATCCTGAGCCTCTTATTGGGAAAGACCTTCTTGGCCTGGACCACTTCTCTCCCATCCCTCTTATGCCCCAGCCAGTCTCACCCCTGTCTTTTTGTCTGCCTTCTGCACTGTGTAGCCCAGGAGCTCTGTGTTGCCTGTGTCCTGGGGTGGAGTCCACTCGAGAGCCGCATTGCAACCCCAGACATCCAGGAGCCTGATGCTGCTTGGGGGCCCGGGCTTCTCTGCAGGACCAGATGATGAAGGGAGGTGAGGGGAAGCAGGCCTGCTACCAAGTCTCCACACTCAAGATTTGGCACTTGCCGTGATACCCTAGCCTTCCCTCACCCACCATCAGCCCTGGGATGTGGGGGACAAGGGTTTTGAGACAGCTCTTCCCCCTCTGCCCTTGTACCAATCACTAGGATGTCAATGTTGGCCTTGGCTTCCAAGCCTTCCAGATGTACAGTGAGCTCATAGCGGCCTGAGTCTGAGCGCTGAGCTGAGCGAATAAAGAGGATGGAGTCCTGGTCTCCGCTGCGCACATTTACCCTCTGGCTGTCCAGGGCATGGCCGTTGTGGGTCCAAGAGGCCTGCGGCTTGGGTTTCCCCTGACAAAGATGGGTTTGGTGTAAGTACAGATTGGGACAAGCGCCCCACCCTAGCTGCGCCTGGGAAACCTGTCCCCGCTGATCCCACCGTTACAACCCAGAGCCACATCTTCTAGTGTGGGGCCTGCCCTGGCGGCTGCCCATCTGTCCACTCACAACTGAATTAGATGCAAAACTGGGAAGCCAGCCATCTGTATGGGTCCCAGGCAGACTCCAGTGAGAATCCTGACATTCCCAGGCCCCACTCCTGACGCATCAGGCCCTTATCAGCGAGGCATGCTTACCTGGAAGGGGATTTGCAGGTTGATGGACTCTCCCGCCTGGCGGATGTAAGTCTGCCGAAGGTGTCGGGGAACACGGATCTTGGGGGCTTCTGCGTGAAAACAAGTGTCTGGGCTTAGGCCAACTGAGTGAGGGTGTCTGAGGCAGAAGGGGGAAGCAGTTGTGGGCTCCCGGCTAGGCAGGACAGGTCCTATTTAGTATGTTCCCACCGGTTTGGGCTGCCTCTTCACTGGGAGGGCAAAGCCTTCAACGCTGAGATTGAGGGACCCAAATCCCTCTAGGCCTTTGGGTTGCTGAGAACTGAGAGGCTCCAGAGAGGTCAGGGACTCGACAGTGTGAACTGGTTGGTATCTCCGGCACTCCCTTGGCGCCTCAACCTTGCCAGGCTGGGATTTACCCTGAGGCCCAGGCATTCTCAAGGTCCAGATGGGCCTGGCTGGCTCTCTGTCTCCCCCTGGAGGGCGGCAGGTTCTGCACCTGTCGGCCAATGTGCCTAGAGAGGGAATGAGTGTGCGGGCTTCCTGCCTGCCGATACACAGCATCCAGGGTCCCGGCCTTTCCTGAGAATGTGGAACCTTGTTGGCTCAAGTCTCTGCCTCTAGGGCTGCTGGGAGGCTCAGGCTCTTCGCACAGAAGCTAGAGCGGGTACCCAAGCTTCTGCTCAGTGTCATGGTGGTAAGTCCTTCCTGAAGTCTTAGTTCAGCCTCCTTACTCTGGTAGGAACCACTTTCCCGACTATGGCCTAGTCAGGTGCCATTGGACATGCCAAGAGAAACTGCAGCAACTGCCATTCCTGTCCCTGGGGGACGGTGTGGGGACTGAGCCTGAGCCTCCTAAGCAGTAAACAGGTGGTAGCAGCTGGTCAGTGGCATGTAGGAGGACATAAGAAGGAACACTGTGTCTCCAAGGATTAGCTGAGCAGGCACTTGGCTTGGAATGCTCCGGGGACCTCTCCAGGAGGTCAGGCATGCCTGGCAGCTCCAGGTGGCCAAGAGGAGGGGACAGCTGAGCAGCTGAGGATCCTGGACAAGGCCCCCGCCCTGGCCCGCCCAGCCCATGAGAAGTCCGGCTGTTCCCCACTTTCTCTCCAGGAAATCCCCTTCTCTCCTGCCAGAGGAATTTTAATGGAGAGGTGGGTGCTGAGTCTGGCTATCTCCTTCAACACCAAGGTCTCAGAGGCATTTCAAAGTCTGAGCGTCTTGGGGCCCTGGGGGAAGATCTGGGACTCTGCCAACCAGAAGGACTTCCTAGCACCTCCAGGCTGGAGTCAGCACAGGCATCCTGCTGCTCACAAGGTGGTGGGAGGTGGTGCTATCTCACCCAGAGAGTGAGGCTTTTGAAAACCACCAGAGCAGACACGGAGCAGCTTGGTGGCTATGAACAGTCCTGTGTGGGCACCAGAATCTGAGACTGTTGAGAGACTGGGTCACTCTGTGGGAGTCTCTGGGCCCTTTGGAACCTGCCTGGCTTGAATAAGCTATGACAGTCTGGGTTCTGGTTTTCCATGTCTTTAGACCTTAAAGCCGTGTATTTCCTTGAATCCAGATCTGAGCCCTCCTATGGCCGAGATCCCTCTCTTCCCAGATGCCTCGTCTGGAAATGCAGGGTCTATCTCCAGCCTCTGTCCATCCATCCCTCAAGGAACAAGAAGGAAGATGGAGGAGGTCTCAGACCACCTGCTTGCCCATGTCTCTCTTCACCCCGGGGGCCCTGCACTGTCCCCAGAGACCTGAGATCAGACCAAATGACTCACTGTCATTAACAGTCTGAAACCTGAGCAGCTTTGGGAGGGGGGTCGGGGGACTAAGGCTAACGCACCCTGCAAATAGAAATATTAGCAACAGGGACAGCAGCTGGTCCTGGGTCCTCTCAGAGGCACTGTCCCTTGGGGATGGAAGAGCCTCATAGACCCTTTGCACAGCCTCCTCTTCCTGCTAGGGCCAGGGTACAACGGGGGGGATGGGGGCCTTCCCTGTGTTCCAGAACCTCGGGAGAGCCTGGAGCCCAGGTTTGAGGAAACAGAAAGGCAACTCCCATGGCTTCAGAGATTAAGATTAGGGAAAAGTAAGAATGGATGGCTTCTAGCGCTGGGAGCCTGGGCGTCATCCCTGGGCAGCAAGGATCTGCTCCCTGAGGGTGGTGGTGGGGGAGGAGGGGCTGGACCACTCAGGGAAGTGGCTTCTTGGACCTCCTTCTTGCTGCTGAAGAGCCTGAACCTTTCACAAGGCAAGACACGTTAGCATGTGGCTTGTGCATGTGAGTGTGAGATGGGGGGAAGGGCTGCCTGGGTCCCATTGACCGTGGCCTCAGTTTCCCCACTGTATCCAGTCTGTGAACAAGAGGCAAAGAGGGGCTTTACCAATGAGCTCTTGGATGTGGACAGGCTGGTCCAGCACAGCTGCGGGGCCGGCCCCCGAGGGGCTCACTGCAGTCACACGCAGGAAGAACTTGTCTCCCAGGGCCAGGTTTCGAACCGTCTGCTGGGTCACCATCACGGGCCGGGGATTTACAGGCACCCATTCTGAGGCTGAGGGCAGTGGAGAGTGTCTGGGTTTTAGTGGTGTGGCAGGGGCATCCTTCTCACGGGGCTTCCCTTCTCAAGGGTGATGGACAGAAGCTGACCTCGCTCTTGGGCTGCAGTCTCTCTTGCCCCCTTCCCTGATTTTGTAGCATCATGTAACACCAAAGACAGCCAGTGTTAGAGCTCTGGGAAGATGGCCAGAGGCGGGGATGCAGAAGGCCAGAGAGGGTTGGGCACGTTCACCAAGTCACACAAAGTAAGGCAGGGGCAGAGACAGAAGCCAGGCTGAACGTGGCTGTCAGGGTCTACTTTGCCTAACGCTCCTTACTGTCTCTTATTTAACTGCCCCCCTCCTCTCTATCATCACCCTCCACCCCACCCCTACCCCACCCCCGCTTTCTGCCTCCTGGGTTAACTCCCCATGAAAAAGGTTTTCTGAGATTCGGTACTTCCTCCCCTTCCTTCCCCCACCCGCTTCTATTACCCGAAGTCTCCCTGGAGCTGGAGGATGGGAGGTCTCCTGAGGTCATGGGACCTCTCTTTTCCTTCAGAGGTTCCTATGGAGCAGCAGGTGGCAGCCAGGCAGTTAAGACCACGGCTTACACCTTCTCCCTTTCTCTCCCCCTGAAATGACCCTTTGCAGGGACCGGGCTTGTCCCTGCTGTCCTGGCCCCCGTCATCTGGGTGGAAGTAGGGCTAAGCCTGGTACTCACCTCCCTCTCGACAGAGCTCCAACACGTAGCCCTGGAGCCCCAGTTTCCCCAGCTTCTCGGGGGGCTCCCAGCTCACAGTCACAGAGCTGTGGCTTACATCCTCCAAGGTCAGCTGCAGTGGGGCACTGGGGACATCTGGGGGAGAGGGGACCAGGGTGAGATGAAGAGCCCCTCCCTGCACACCGGCCTCCCTTCTCCACCTGCCCCCTCCACGTCTAGTCACCTTCACTTGGAGGGTCAGGCTTAGTGGTTGCGGGCACAGCAGCATCTTCAGGGGCTGCAGGGTCCAGGGCCTGAGATCCAGGCTTCTGTGGCTCTGGAGCCTGCTCTTGCCCCGGGGACTCTGATGCTGTGGCCTCTCCAGAAGGCTCCGTGGTTGGCATTTTGGCAGGCTCAGGCACGGTCTCCCCTGGACTAGAGACAGACGCTTCAGAGGTGTCTTTTCCTGTCATTTCTGAGCTGGTTGTGGGGAGGGGGGTCAAGCTGGAGTGTTTAAGGGTCAGCTGCAGGTCTGGGCCACCAGGGTGCCTGGGAAACCTAGGTCTAGGCTTATATAGACAGGGGCTGCCCCACCCCCAGCAAACCATTCCCAGCTGTGGGGTCAGGTCAGGCAGGGGGGGCGGGGGGCAGGGAGCACCCAGGCCAGGAATAGCTCTGGGGAGGAACTGCAAGGGCCCCTTGAGGAGAATACTACCTCGACATCACCAGAGCTAGACCTCACAGCCAGGGTGCCAGTGCCCAGAGTGGGGAGGGCATAGATAGGTGAGCTGGGACATCGCTGGGCTGGGCAATGAGACTGGCCATCTGGAAAAGGAGATCAAGTTAGTTCCATGAGTCTGGTTTCCTTGGGGCTCCCCTTGGGCCCCAGTCTCCATGGAGTGGAGCCTGGAATTAAGGCTCTGTGAACCGGCCATCCTTGTGAACATTCCCACTTTTACCTATTCACTCTACCTTGGTTCCCCGTTCTCTGGGGGACTCACACTTGTACGGTGTGAAACTAAGGCCCCCACAGAGGAGAGAATTGAGATGCCCAAGGTGAGGCTGGCCAGAGGCAGGCGCTCCAGTGTGAATCCTAAGAAAAGGGACCATCTTGGTTAGTTCAACTGCTGTGGCATCGTGCCATAGGCTCTGTGAATTGTAAACAACAGAGGGTGATTTTTCTCGTGGCTCTAGAGTCTAAGCCCATGGCTCCTGGCATCCAGGGAAGGGCTTTGTCCCGAGTCAGAATATAGAGGATGGGCAAGCTGCACAGAGAAAGGGGCTAAACGCATGCTTTGCATCCAGTTCCCACTCTGGAGATAACTAACCCACTCCTTAATAATGACGTTAACTAAGTTATGAGGGAAGTGCCCCGTGGCCTAATCACCTCTTTAAAGGCTCCACGTCTTATCACTGTTAGTGACAATCGGAGGAGTTTTAGAGGGAACATTCAAACCATAACAGGGACCAAGTAAGCCTGTTCCTGTTTCTGCGGCAAGGCTTGGAAACCTCCATTTTCACTAATTCCCAGGCCTACTGAGAACCCCCACCCTTGAAGATAAGACAAGCAGACTTGAATTTCCTAGCCTCTTCAGAAAGGGACGTAGGCACGGACTTCCCCAGTGTGGAAAATGGAGCAGGTTCAACCCAATTCTTAGTCTCTGATTCATTTATTCAAGAAGCTGTTAAGATTGGTAATAATTTGAAATCCAGAAAATACCATGTGTCAGCAATTCTCACTGTGGGTGGGAGTGTGGATCAGAGCAGTGGCTGAGAAAAAACCAGGCAGGGACATTGTGCCTAGCCGGTGGCTCTGGGCATCCACCTCTGTGCTCCCAGGAGACACGGATGAGACTATTTGTGGAGCTATCACTTGTAACAGCACAAGTTATGTGGCTATGTAGTTCTAAAGCAGAAGCCAGATGACGGCGAGACACCCCAGCTGACCAAAGGGCGAATCACAGAAACACGATGATCATTTTGTCCTTGAAATCCAAAGCCAGAGCCACACGAAGCCTCGATCTTCAAAGTGCATCCATAGGTGGTTAGCCCAATAAAAAGGAAGGTAAGGCCAAGGTTAGCCTAAAATGACAGCCTCTGGCCGAGGGGACATGTGACTGTGGAGGCTGCAGAGTGTCACTGAGGCTTGTTCCCCCTTCAATATACAGAAGCACTTTAGATTAGATGAGTATCGCTCACACACTCTTAAGCAGGCACGGTGCAGCCCACAGTTTAGGGATAAATGGACGTGTAATTTATTTAGGGCTGTCGACAGCATTCTGGTTCTCCCTCTTGTTGGGGATGGGCACAGCAGTATGGCTGTCTCTCAACCCCTACTGTCCTCTACGGAGTGTCCGCAGGGGGCTGAGGAGCCTCTGGGTCCAGCTCTGCCTGGGCGTCCATGCTCTCGGTGAGGTGACTCAGTGTTGTGCCGAGTGGATCCGATCTCCACGCTGGCTTCTGACACTGAAGCTATAAGCGAATGTGACTAACTCGGCAGACCCTGAGTCAGCCCTGAGAACCTGTCCCTAACTGGGGGAGCGGGGGGACGACTCAGGAGACAGGGGAGCTTCCTACAGGAGGCTTCAAAGACCTTGTGTGGTAAGGTGGACAGTGGGCAGGAGTCAGGGACCGCGTGGCCCACTAGTCAGCACAAAATGCCAGGTATCCTCTACTTCTAAGACCCTGGCCAAGCACCTTGCTTTTAGCAGAGTGGTAACCTTGGAAACAGCCGCATGTGCCCGGCTCCAGCTGGTTCAGATTTCAGGGCAACAGACTGCTATTGGCTTCTCTACGCCTCAATGCAGAGTCCCCAACATCCAGCCAGCTAATGATTATCCCAAGTCGGATAATCCAAACATCAAAGAACCCACAGATAGAATCCCAGTTGGTTTAGAATACAGCCTATCCAGGCTGCCTGAATAAAGTCATGTCCGGGCTTCTGGAAGCTCCCAAGACCCTGGTGAGAGCGTCCCCTCCCCAAAAAGGCTGGAAAACTGGCTTGTCTTCGGAACCAATGCCTTCCATTCTCCTCACCTGCTGTCTCAGGCAGGCCAGCTTGGGCAAGGAAGCTTTGATCTCTTCAAGAGCTGAGGGAGTAGTGTGAAGGGGGAGTGAGCTCAAGGACAGAGCTAGGGACAAGGACACTGGACTGCTGACAGCTTTCAGTCCAGCAGTTGGGTGGACTGCCTTTAAGATAACGAACGGTGGGACACTCAGGAGTATGAGGCTGGAAGGCCACCTCTCAAGGGTCTGGAGAGACCCCAGTCCTTTACGGCAGGAAGGGTGCCTGAAACGGCACTGCCTTTCTTTCAGGCCTTAATGTTCTGGGTTCCTGAGCTTTCTAACTGCATCCTGTGGCTGCCCCTCACCACCTTTAGAGGGTCAGAAGAAAGGTTGGGCAACAGTCTCTTCCCATGGGACCCTACTTTGGGAGTCTGCAAGACTTGAGTGGCTTGAGTGTCTGGATTGCTATCACCCACGCTTAGATAAAGCCTACCGTTTCCAGGCAGTCTGAGGACACCACCTCCCAGAGGGCCCAGCACAGGGCATCAAGACCTCACTGTCCGCTCTGATTCCCACGTCTCATAGAGAGAAATCCGGAAAAGATGGGGGAGGTGGGTACCATGGTCCCGTGGACCCATAGAGATGACCGTAGCAAGAAAGAGACACTGTTAAGCTCTTGCGCTTTATTGAGCAGCTGCGGAATTAGGAAATGGAAGTGGGACAGAGACACGATTATGTTCCTAAGAGATGGTTTCAAGTCGGGCTTTGCAGAGGGTATAATTAGTGTGGCCACCGCATCTTGTAAGATGCTTGCCTGCTTGATGGTATAACTTGCCAAAATGGTGTCCTTGGGTCAGGAGAGCTGAAGGAAAGGGAGTTGAAGAAACTCCCTTGTGCTGGGCTTAGAGTCTGAGAATTTCCATTCCTCAGCAGAGATGTACTGAACCTGACCTCACACTTCGACTCTCTCCACCCCACTGTCCTACCCTGCTTCTCTCTGTTCACCAGGGCTGAGCCCAAATCTCAATGCTGTGGCCCCTACAAGGGAGGGAACCTGAGGCCCAGCTGCGGGGGGAGGGGGGGGGCGCTTAGTGGTGCAAGTGGCCAGACTCCGGGCCAGAGGGCGTGGGGTCATGTGGGGTCACGTGGGAGAGGAAGAACTAAGCCGCAGCAAGTGCCTCCTTGATGGCATTGGTGAGCGGGAAGCGCAGGTTCTGCCCACAGAAGGAGCCCCGGAAGTCATCCAAATCCAGCGCCCACACCATGGCTCCAGCCAGCTGCTTGCTTTTCAGGTACTGCACCTGGTGGAGGAGGTCCAGAGCAGGTAGGGTTGGTTCTCTGGGTGAGATGTGGGGGAACTGGGCTCTGTGGCCTTTCCCCAAAGGACCCGTACACACCCAAGTTCAGCCCTAGTGCAGGAGAGCAAATCTAACTGCTTGGAATGTGCCCCCTACACACACACACACACACACACACACACACACACACACACACACACACACACACACCTTTGTCCTGGGGTATAGCTTCCAGGGAAACCTACCTTGTTTTTGACACTTTCCTGGTCATCATACCCCACCCACTGGTTGCCCTTGGTAGCATAGGGAACCTGCTGGCCAAGGATTCTTTGTATTGCAGCTCCTTTGAGGAAATCACAGATCTGAGTAGAGAACAGGGTGGGGGTGGTGTGGGAGGCTTGTCAGGTCACTAGCAACCATCCGGTCTGTAGCCTCCCTCTCCTGAGGCCACGGGCTGTGGGCTTCATGCAAATTTATGAAAAACAGATGCAAATGTCCCAGAGTTGAACTGCTATAGCCTGAGGGCTTTAGAGATCTGACTGCCTCCTCCATCTTAAACAGGGGTGTGAGGAATGTGAGCTGGTACCCAGGGCTGGCCTCAGACCACTTGGAGCATCAGAGGCCCACACCCACAGAGAATCTTGACCATTGCTTTTCCTGAAGACCCAGGTCTGAGGTCAAGAGGAATATTCTAGGAGCCTGGTGCCTGCTGGAGGCTTTATTCAGGAATAAAAGGCTTAAACTCCCCTGTTGTCATCCTAAGGAATGCTAGGGCAAACAAGTGTGTTTTTACTCCCAAAGGAGAAAGTGTGTGTGGTGAGGGAGGCCCCTCTTCCCTGGGGCAGCCTGCGAAGCGACATCATTACCTACCTCATAGTAGGCAAGGGTCCCTTCCTCCTTGGTGAACCGGCCTGGTAATCCTGGCCCCGAGATTGGCGCTCCCACCCGCGTCTCAGAAGATGCCAGCGTGAAGCTCTTTCCAAAGGTTGGGATTCCCATCACTAGCTTGCTGGCCGGGGCTCCCAGCCTCAGCATGTACCCCACCGCATAGTCCTGGGGTGAGGCGCAGACAGCAGGAACGGTTAGCTGGGCTGGGTGGTGTGCGGATGGGGCTGCACAATTAACACTGCTGCCTTGACAGGCGCGGTGACAGTTACAAGGCGCAAGTGGGAATCCCCATCCCTCTGGGAACCGATAATGCCGGTTAAAAAAAAATGACTT